ATAACCATGGTATAATCATTCATTTCAGTGCCATTAATTCTACAGGAAAGATTAAATCAGCTGGTATTATTTATATTTGTTCATTCTTTGAATGCACCACCTCTACATATTCACACTTGGGAACACAGCACCTCTGTCACTGAACTGTAATTTTTCCAGCAAGTTACTGGTCATTTTAGGACCATTCAGTCCTTTCTACTCAAGGACTTCCCTCTCCCAAAAGCCTTCCTGTCCATGAAGGCTTCAAGAGGAAGTGACTGATGGAATCCTCCAAAACACTGACTTCAAAGTTTCTCTGGATTAAAAATACTGAAAAGCCCTCCTAATGCAAGTTTCATTTATATTAGAGGCACATTATTTTGCCAGTATGATTTACAGTACATCTTTGAGCAAAGTAAGTTCCACTGGCAAGCTCACTTGTTTGCCACTATAAAAGACACCTATTTACACCAAAGCTTTCTCAATTAAGCTGTGGCAGAGAACTACTGTAAAAAAAACCAAACAAACAAACAAACAAACCACCAACCATGCAACTTAAATATGCAAAGAAATTCGAATGGATATATAGCCTGACAGAAAATATGAATACCTACAGACAACATGTCTGAAAAGTTACTATCATTATTTAATAACTTGTTTTTAAGTTGTATTTGCATATTGTCTCTTGGAAAAGGAACAGGACTGAGGAATTCTCTTGTATTAGGGAGAACAGTAGCAACAAAATGGCCTAAGTATTTCAGACGTAAATTGCAGGTAAAGAAAATATTGAAAAAAGCTGATTCATTCAAGAGCTTCAAGAAATGGTTTTGTAAATGTTGGAAATATACAGAGGAAAAAGTAACTTGTCTTAAATCAAGAGATACAGATTAAAAAAAGTCCTGGTAGGTAAATGAATTCACCCATGCTCAGAAACTAGCATCATGATAAAGTATATCAATACTTAAAAACACACACAAAAAATAAAGATAAAATAAAAATAATAAACCCTGCATCCCTCCCTCCTTACAAAAAAAACCTGTTTTTTTTCCTTTTACAATAGCTATTAATATATTTTTTTAAAAATAGAACAGTTGTCCAAAATAATCTTACTGGTACATGAATCAAACATCCGAAAAACTGAATCTGAGACTTGTTGCTTATGCAAGCTGGAAGGAGCTAAAATCCAAGTGCTCAGATGACTGGATAGGTGATCATCACTATTGCGTGTACCAACTAACCTGCAGACTGATGATCTGCATCAAAGTAATCAGAGGATACACATACTGATAAAAGCCTTGCACAAAATGAATTCAAATCAAGACATGAAAACTAAAATAATTTTAGCAGCACTCCATCTCTATTCTCAGCCTCTTGTAATTTTTGGCAGTTTTCAAATATTGCAGAAATGAAGATATCGCTGCCCTGCTGCAGATGAGTTTGAAATTCTCCAGCAGATAGTTTAAAACAATGCACTAAGAGAATTCACATCTTGAAAAGACATACTCCATGATACAAATGTGAAACCTCACGAGTAGGCTTCTCAATTGTGGAGTGTTCGTTTGTCATTTCGTTTTCAGAATCTGTCTGAAATCCCCAGCATGAGCAGATCATACAGCAATGTACAAAGCTCCTTCTGTCTTCAGTTGCATACAACTACAATCCTATCACGCACATGGCCTGCTGCAAAGAAAAGATCACAACGCCCTTATGAAGCAGTAGCTAGAAAAGATGAACGCAAGGTACAAAACATGATAGCTGGTGGACACCAGACAACATTGTGGCTAGATCACTGATGCTGGGCAGTTTCCTCACAATTCAAGTATCTGTTCAGCCAGTGGCTTGGGAATTCTCGCAGGTCTCATTAATAAGCATTCAGAATGCAGCATATGCAATTAATATTTTTCCCCAGAAAAGTAGGAAACATATCACGTTCTAGATGAAGTATTAATCAAACTACTTAATGAGCTACTAGACAGTACACAAATGCTGCAATATTATGTTACAACAATCTAAAAAAAAAGGAATTCCAATCCAATTTCAAATTAAAATAAGGATTTATACAGGCTATGTTTGATCTCAGGTATCAGCGGTCTGATTACTCGGCTTGCTTATTATCCATGCCACGGATGCAGAGATAGCTTGGATTCACACACGGTTTAACAGCTTAGGCACAACATCCTGTAAATACTGCTACACTGCTTACAAGCTAGCTTTGATCTAGAATGACATAGACAAAGAGGCACGGGAGAACCAACTCAGAGGTGTAACAAAGCTCCAGCAAAGGTTCACCTGGAATTAGTAACACTACACAGGCTGGACACCAGCTGATTCCACACAGAGTAACCACTTCTGCATTTGCACCACAAAGCTCATTATGTTAGATGCAGCATTGTGCAAATTTGTTATCTGTTGTGTAATAAGTTCTCTAAGAAGGAGAACTTGTCAGCAGAAAGACCAAGCAGATCTCCAAGAGGCAGTTCAAGTCAGCATGGTCAGCAACAAACTCGAATTAATAAGCTCAGGCGAAACCAAACTGCCTGTCAGTGAACAGCACTTCCCAGAAGCACAGGTTCCAAGAGGGCTTATTAGCTCAGGCACACGAAAGAACACATGGAGTTAGGCCAGATCCAGTACTGTGCCAAAACAAACAAGCTTTCCTGGAGAGAAGAGCACCAGCAAAGCCAGCACGGACAACACATTAATGATTTTACAAGAGTCAGTGTTTAACTGAAATGAATATCCTCATCGGAAGCTAAACCAACTTTTCAGCAATACAGGTGTAACTGAAATGTGCTCTCCAAAGCACTGACATTCGCGGAAAATGCTAAATATCAGGGCATTCCATCCCTCCATTGCCTCAGACTAGAATGCATCAACTATATAAACAGATTTGTTAGAAAAAAGCACCGCCTTCTCAGCTTGTCCTCTAGTGTATTTATTCCATCCTGAGGTGAAGCAAGATTCTACTTCTATCAGCCACAATGCGAGAGCTTATTAATTGGTCTAAAACAACTTTATTAACATCATGGAATATAAAATTGTCATGATGATTCTTCCCCAGATCAGCAGTACATACTCTCTGTAGAGTCTTTCAGTACTCAACTAACAGCTAAAAATAACCTTAAAAAGGGCAGAGACCTTCAACTTACTTCTAAATCAAAACAGAGCTCATCAAAATAGCAAACAAAATCACTTATACTTACTTCTTTTTTCATCCATAATTTTAAAGCCGTAAGTAAAGCCTTCACTCCTTGCACTAAATAGCTTGGAGGCTGGAAACCATCTTCCCTCAATTCTAAAAAGGATACAGATACCAATTTAGAAACACACTAACAGTGAAAACATTAGAATGATACCTACCCTTCAGCCAATAAAGTTGCCGTTATGCAACAGCACAAAAAAGGAAAAATTGTGCAAGCAAATGAAACATGACATCCTGTATTTGTATGCATACTGTAACAAACAAACAAAAAAAAAACCAACCCAACCATAAAGTGATTCTACACACAAAATCTTTTTTTGGACTTATTCTTGGGTGAATTAGAGGTAGTTTACAACATATTAAAAGTCAATTAGTCAAACAGATCTAAAATACAGAACAAGAGAAAACATGTTTGAAGAAAGAAATCACTTCTATTTCATTCAGAAATATTTTAGTCAAAGTGAACCAGAAGGATGTGGGATGTATCTCTAAATTAGAATCCCTATTGCTTATTCCCATACATAGAGCAAATGGTTCACGCTAGCACACTTCCACTCCCCAAACAGTTTCTGTCACCCTTCCAAATATCACACTTCTCCCTCACACAGTTTACATCTTTTTTTCTTCCCAAAATCAAAGGGGACGGGGGGTGGAAATCACTCTGCTACAGAAGCTGCTCTTCTTAAGAAAGCTGGTGCTCCCAAGTGATTGCAATTCCTTTTCAATGTTCTCTTTTCCTTCATGTGGGAAAAAAAGAAGGGAAAAGGCAAATCATCCATAAAGAGTCAAAAGTAGATTGCAACCTCTCCCCCATGTTCCTGACAAATATTTCCACTTGTCAATAGCAAATGGACCAAGACTAGAACTATTTGGCTCATTTTATTCCCTTAAAAGAATACAATAATAAAACACTATTCTTAGGGATAATGTATTCGTCTGCTGGCAGAAAAAGGGAAGTTTTGTTACTAAACAGCCGTTCTTCCCTTCAAGATGACTCCTTAAAGGGTACTAGCTGCCCACTAGCTGACTCAGTTGATAAATCTTTGAGAATACAGCACAGCCCCACAGGGTGAATTTTTTTTCAGTTGCAATAGAAAAGACTGCATGGCATAAGAGTAATCAAAATTAATGAGTATTGGATAGATGAACAAGTTACCCATTAGGAAGAAAATAGTTTAAGTGAATGACGCAACACTTGCAATACCATAAAACACTTCTTGCCAATGAAAAGGCAAACTCAAAATGTTTATGACCCTGTTATCATTTATAAAAAGAGCCAGAAAGATACATAGTGCTGATTTTGCTTACTGACCTCAAATTCATATAAAGTACTGCTAACAAGCATGCACTCAACATTTTGCAAGTTGGTCATCACATCCCATTACCTTTCACAACTGAACTAGCATCATTCCTTATTTATAAAACAAAGGACTCTGAATTATAAACACCTAATTCACATGAGTCTTGATGCCAAAAGCCAACATAATCTTCACTCTAGCCATGGAAATCTCCATTTTTATTTTTTATGATGGATTTATAGATCATAGCATTGTTCTACAACAACATATCTGCTAATCCAGAAATCAAAAAAACCACGAGAATAAGCTTCATACCTCTCCCCTAAAATAGAAGACACAAAAGGCTCCTAGTCTATGTACTCAGGGAGCCATGGGATAAAAAGTGGAGGAAGATGAGGGGGGAGTAATGGACACAGGACACAGCTCATAGTTAGC